ATAGATCAAGTGTAGATATGTAGTATGGAAATTACATGTGATGTAATCCAAACATGCCTATTTTCAACTGGTTCTACCTTATTATTTAATGAGATCTACCATGAACTTTAATAGAGTAGAACTGAACTGAATAATTTATTCATGAAATAAATCGAATATCCATGGATAAAAATGTGTCTAAAACAGACAACATCCGAATACAAACTCATACTAAACTGACATATCATCAAAAGATGCAACATCCATGTGAGTATTATGCTCATGAAAGATCTTAAGTGGTAGCCATTTAGTAAATGGATCCATGATTATGGAGTTTGTCCTAATACAAATTTAACCACTCTGAATTATTTACATAATAACTAAGAATTTAATAGCTATAAACTTTGACATCATCATGCTCATGTGGGAATACAAGACTGCTATTATCATAAAATAACTAAAGTGGTCTTTCAAATTCATCCAATATATGCAGCCTAGTGACAATATTTTGTAGTCATATTTCATAATAAGAGTCAGAATATCCAATGATCTCCAATTGGTCTGATTTTTCTGAATGTGATCATGTAATCCTTAATTCTCTATAGATATCGAATAACCTAATAGCTACTTTTCAAATTTCCATCACAAAGTTAATTAAATATTTGTCTAGAATCCCAACGATGAATGCTATATCTGGATATGTGCAAACCTAAGTATGCATTAAATTCTCAACTACTGGAACACATTAAATTTTCTATATTTTTCTTTATTAAAATTTATCCTTGGGGCATAATTGAGGCCAAACTTGTCTCCCTTAGCAATATGGGTATAACCTGATTTACATTTATGCTTCTCAAATCTTTAAAAACCTTATCGATATAACTTTTTTGTGATAATCAAAAAATACACCGAGAACGATCTCTGTATATCTATATCCTTAATACAAAATAGGCATCAGCAAGAATTTTCTTTTCAAAATTCCATAATAGAAATCTCTTGGTTTCTTGCAATAAACTTGTATCATTACAGGCAAACAGTATGTCATCCACATACAATACTAAAAAAATATGTTTACTCCCACTGAACTAGTGATATACACAATCATCAACTGAATTCATCTCAAAACCAAATGATATAATTATTAGATGAAATTTGTGGTACCATTACGAGAAATCAGCTTAAGCCAATAGATTGATTTCTTTAATTTGTAAATCATCTGATGTAGCTTAAGATAAATGTGTCACAAATGTCATAATTGTCCTAAAAGAATCTTTCATATAAACCGGAGAAAAAAGTCTCTTTAATGTCAATTACTTCCTTTGAGTAAAGTCATTTGCAACAAGATGAGCATCATATCTCTCAACATCACCCTTCGAATCCTTCTTGGTTTTAAATATCAAATTAAAACCAATGGATTTCGCACCTTCAGGTAATAGGATGAGTTCCCAAACGTCATTGTTACTTATAAACTTTAT